CCCCCCAGCCTGTCCCCCAGTGGCACCCCAACCCCAAGCCCCCCCCAACCTGGAGCCCCCTCCTATACCTCAAACCCCTCATCCCCACCCCAGCCCTGCTCCCCCACCCTACCCCTCTGCCCTGGGCTTCAGCCCCCTCCCGCACTCAGAACCCCTTGGCCCCACCACCACCACATGAATTTTGTTATGTGCACCAGTGGTGACCTGTATACGTCACCTCCACATTGGTGCACATAAGAAAATCCATTCCCTCCGGGGTGGGAAAAATTAAAGGGAATCCTGGTCTAGACCAGCCCATGAGTCACCCTCCGCCCTCCCCAGCTCCTGCTCTCCCACACTGCCTCCTGTGCGGCTTTCTCCTCTGGCTGTGGGGTCCAGGATCTCCCATGTTCCGGGAGCTGGTTGTTCACACCCACAGTGCCCAACCCTAGTAGGGACAGATCTGTGGCCCAGGACAGGCAGAGTCAACACACTGCCGTGCACCACGCCCTGGGGAACATGCAAAGCAGGGTGTGCCCTGGCAGCCCCACCACGGATGTGTCTGGAGATGACTCAAGCAGGTTGGTTCGGGCGGTGCCCGCCGATGTGGCACATGCTGGCAGAAGCTGGGAAGGGGTGTCTGACTTCCAGCAATGGGCCAGGCCCGGGGCTGATGTTACCTGGCCAGTGGTGAGCACAAACCAGAGATTCTGCTTCCCTTTATCCCACCACACTTCCCCTAGACATAGCCTCAGAGATTTACAGCTCACCCCCTTCCTCCTCATTTGCCTCTTTGGGGCCCATCTGTCTGCCTGGCAGCTGCCCTGGTTTGGTGGGGGTTGTGTGGGCAGAGCAGGAATTACTCAGCAAAGCTCATGCAATTTCCCCAGGTGTTTCCTGGGCGAGGGCAAATCCTTGTTGTCTCTGGACAGCTCCTACAGTCAGATAGTGTTCTCCAGAATCAAGGCTGCTCTGCAAACATCACCCTGCCAGTGCTAGTCTTGGGCCTCCCTCCTGTATGTCCGCCAATACAACCCCTCTGCCTTGTTGGACCAGTTCCACAGCCAGAGAGAGTTCCCCAGAACTCAGGCTGGGCTTGGTTACACAATAACCAAATGGAGGGGAATTGATTTAGAGCAGGTGTTTGAAAACTTTTTTTCTCGTGACTCAGTTGAAGAAAATCATTGATGCCCAAGACACAACATAATTTAGCTAAAGTGTGGGCTGTGGTTGAGGACAAGAGTTTTGAGGTGTGTGGGGTGATCCAGCTTTTGGGGAGGGTCAGGGATGAGGCAGGAAGGGCTTACCTTGAGTGGCTCCCCATCAGTGGTGCAGCAGGTGGGCTAAGGCAGCTTCCTTCCTCTCCTGTCACCACAGACCAGGCTGCCCCCAGAAGCAGGTTCCCAGCCCATGGGAGTGCAGAGCTATTGCTCAGAGCAGGGGCAGTGTGCGAAGCCCTGTGTGCTCTCCTCTCCAACCCTGAGGAGCCAGGCCTGCTGCCAGCTGTTTCTGGGATCTTGTGCCAATCTGTGTCAGCAGAGACCTGCTTCTTCCCCATCATCCCTTCATGCCAGGCAAGTGTCCTCTTCCCCCAAACCTTAAGGGAAAGCCCGACGGCATATGACAGATGAGCACCTCCTTTGGGGCACTCACCAGATTGCTGTGAAGGTACTAGGCCAATGGAGCCTGTTGTCTGAACAGCCCAGACACAGGGCTCCCCCGGCACACCCTTGGGGCACAGACCCTTTGCCTAGCTTCTGCCCTGGCAGTGTAGATGTAACCCACACACCTAGTGTGGCTCACTGCCCCATGCAGTGGCACTTAGACCACTTACAGCAACAGATAAGCGCAAGGGAGCTCTACAGCTTATGCTGGGAGTTACCTGGCTTTATAGCTCAATCTACAGAGGCACCAATACTAACCTCTAGAGTCCCAGTTTCAAATCTGCCTGGTGGTAATTAGATAGACACACAGGTTATGTCTACGCTGGTGGCTTCTTGTGTGAGAAATATGCAAGTGAGGCTAAGTGTGGAATTATTCCTGAAAATAATTGGTGGAATGGCCTTGCACAAGAAGGGGCAGTGTAGACAGCTCCTTCTGGTACAAAAGTGTCTTCTGCAAAAATGGTAGCTCATTAGCTATGCAAATGAGGCTCAGCGATATGCCACGCTTAGCCTCATTTGCATATTACTCACGCAAGAAGCCACCAGTGTAGATATAGCCACAGTGTCCTGCCCATCTCTTGCAACTAGGGGAAAGCCCTCAGACTCTCCCCTATAGCTTAAACACCCCTCTAGCAGAGCTCCACCCAAATGTGGGAGCCCTGAGGGGTCCCTTGTCACCCACCCCCTTGAGTGGTGCAACACAGAGGCTTTGCCCAGATGTCTGACACAGACCTACTCAGCCCTCCAAACCCAATACACATCTCCCAGCCTCTGTTTCCTCCCTGCTATTTGCTGGAGTCACCCTGGGCCTTTCTGCTGCCATGCATGGCTTGTGATGTGAAACATGGGGCCTTCTCTAGCTGTGGGGGCCTCTGCACGGCCTTCTCTGGCTTGACATGAGTTCTGACTAAGAAGCAGGGCCCTGTTAAGTCTGGTGCTAGCAAGCATGCAGGTGGGCCTCGGGCTAAAGCAAGTATGGAGCAATCTAACCTTTTGCCTTGGTCATGGGGTAAAGGTTTTACTGGAAACTGCATAAAATGCTGAAACTGCTGTTTATGCCTCGGTGATTGGGCGAGGCCTACTAAGTTGATTAATTCATTAAAGCGTATACCATTAAAAACAAGCATCAAAATGTCCGGAATTATGATGATAGGGGGCGATACAAAGGGCACACACTGTACTTTACGAAAGTGCTAACCACAAAAGTGGTAAACAACTTAGGATAATGGCGTAAATTAAAGATTGAACAAACAATGTTAAGTAAAGTGAGTAGCGTACCTAAGAGTGTTGGAATGAAGGCTGGCGTTTGGCTGGCACACCTCGTAGCAACAAGCTGTGAAGCAACCAGGTCTCGCCTTGGATAAAAGATTCTTCTGCATGCATGTGCTGTGGGAAGGAGGAACAGAGTGGACCTGCAAACTGTTCATGTAACCAGAAGTTTTAGGGCCTGTTCATCCCCATTACGCAGTCTAGGACGTCTCAGCGTGCGGGAAGGGAGGAGACCACAACCTCCTGTCCAGGGATTGTTGTGGATCAAGGGTGAACTGCACGTGAATTAGGCTTAAATATGGTAATATAGCTAGTTTTGCACTAACTGCTTTGCATTACAGGTATCTTAGGCTAACCCTTTTTAAAATCTATAGTATATAAAACTATATTGCATAGTAATGTTAGCCTATAATGAATCATAGCTGAAACCTTTATTGTGATTTGTGCTGAGTTTATCTGTCTTGCCCTGCTTATGGGTATTGTTGTGTTGACCCTTTTATTTACAAAGTTCTTTGGCTATTGTAATTACTTCACCTCTCAATAAAACAGGAAAGTGGCTAAGTTCAGATCGCTCATTGGTCTGTCCTACACCTCTGAATCTAAAAATATACTGAAAGAACCATCACAGGACACTAGCCCGGTTAGCCTGCTGTGTCCTGGGCAGGGCTGTGCCTTTGCTCTTTCCTGCTCAGTGCTGCCTGTTCCCTGCAGCTCTCACAATTTTTCCCCGTGAATCCTTTTAGAGTTGTTTGCTTTGCTCCCCTCCCTTTGTTCTGTGTTGGTTGGATCCTGGTGCTCCCCACAACCCGCTCCTTTTAGACAAGGGGCAGAAGGGTCTTCTTCCTGATTCAGCAATCCCAGCTCTGCAGAGAGAGACTTCCTGAACTTGGCATGGGGGAGAGGGGAAATGAGAGGCCAGGGACAAGTGAGGAAGGGGGGGAGGAGAATGGGGAACTCTGGCATTGGTTTCTGGGGAAATGGGGAACACTCACAGCCCCTGGCCTATGGCTTAAATTGCTCCTGGAGGGCTGTACAGGGCAGGCAATGGTGGGTCACAGTTCTGTGGGGGGGCGGGGGGTGGAGGAAGCTTCATTGAGCAGCCCCCAAAGAAGAAGCCAACTACAGCACGACTGGTATTCATTTCCTGGGTGTGAAATGCAGCCAAGTGAATATCGCAGAAGACCTTATAGTGAGACATCCCAGGGGGCATGGTCCCTTCCAGTGATGGCAACCCCCCACCCCCCACCCCCAGATCAGCCCCAGTCACTGCTCTGGCCAGTCATTCAGGCACTCCACAATGGGCAGAAACTTTAGTGATTAGAAAATAATCACCAATGATACTAACAAGAGACCTGAATAATTAACAGGAGCTGGGACCTTTCAAGTTGCGCTCTCTAATTTACCTTTCTACCCAGACCGACTGGGTCAGAGCCCCACTGTGCCTGACACTGTACAAACAGAGCAAATGACAGCTCCTGCCTCAAAGCGCTTACATCTAATATCTGAATCCCAACCACAAACTGGAGACAGCAGTACGCAGTAGGGTACCGCTGATAAATATATGCTAGCAGCTCTGTCTCTCATATTAACAATATGTATTTCACTCACTCACTCGTATATCTAGCTATTTCCGTTTATACTGAATCTCCTCTTTTCTTAAAAGGATCTTGATTCAAGGCTCCATTCCACTGATTCCCTCTTCTACCATTCCTAACACCAGCTGTCCTGTCTTGCTCCTGAAAAGTGATCTCTCAATACCTGATTATTTCAGTTTCATTAAGATAATATATTTTTCCTGTAATGAAAGAATGAATCATCCTTTCAAGTTCTTAATCACTACTTATAACACTCCTATGTTCAAAGTAAATCAGACCAATTGTAAAGAAATGCTGACAAGGTACAACAATAACACAAGGAAAGCATTTACACTAATCACTAATTGATAAAAGGGAAATCCGATACTTTAAAAAAAAAAGGCCTGAAGAAATGTAGCAGTTTGTGGTGAAAAAAGAGAAAACTTTCAATCACAAGAACATTTCTAAAATTATAAGATAAATGAACATACTGTGAAAGTCATTTTGAATTCATGAAAGTACACTGTAAATTTCCAGAGGTAAGAGTAGTACCATGTATCGAGTATAGTTAAAATGGCCTTTCATGTCCACCGTAATATACCTTCAACTTAACTTGATAATTCAATCTTTTATTAGGTTAAGGAAAAAAAATAGAAACCAAATAACTAATTATAAACAGCAAAATTCCCACACTTTATACATTGAATGCTTTTGCCAGGTTTGATTAAGCAGGTAATTTGATCCAAAGGAAGTGTAGTAAGTGTTCTTTTCCCACACAATTTTCTTCTACAGCAAATGGGAAGAAAACAAAGATGCTTTGCGAATAGCAAAGTCAAGCTTCTGAATGGGCTGGAGAAAGTTAGTTCATGGTTCCTCCTTGAGCAACAGAACTGTTAAACAATAACCTTATTCAAGGATACCAGTTACTTGGACTGCTACCATTACTCTATAAGGCTAGGCAATCTCTCATACATCCTCCAGGAATCCTGTTATCTTTGATAATTGCACTGGGAATGGATTTGACCAGATGAAAGCAATGCATTGAAATAGAATATTTGCCCTGACTTTCTAGCAATTTACAATACAGTCTTATTCACAACTTAGTCTTAAATTTGTTGATTTTTTTTAAAGGTTAAATACCTTCTGAATGAACATTTCTGGAAATATCCTGAAAGGCTGTACTCTGTAGTCCTAGGAATTACAATATTCCTTCCAATCTCACTAAAGAAAAGACTGCCTTTAAGGCAGCCTCTCAATCTAATGAGTGGCAAAAAAAAATGATGGGCTAATTGGCTAGTTATTAAGTATAAAAATAGTAGCCCAGTGTCTGAGAGTCTGTAATGCCAAAATGCTGGCTGGTTCCCCTGGGGGGCGCTGTTGCCAGAAATGCTGGCTGGTCCCTCTGGGCAGCCCGTGTTGCATGGGGAGTAAGGGGCCCAAACAGCCACTTGCTCTCCCGTAGTGGCCTGGGTGA